AAAACCAGAAGTGGAGCTATGGCTCAAGTGGTAGAGCACTAGCCTTGAGCTGAAGAGCTGAGGGACAGTGCCCAGGCCCAGAGTTCAGGCCCCAAGACCAGCAGAAAAAACACACAAACAAACCCATATTCCATCAGATTCCATCTCACCCCAGTAAAATTGGCCAACTTGTGAGTTGGAGCAACAACGAATGTTGGTGAGGATATGGGAAAAGGAGCCCTACTGCGCTGCTGATGGGAAAGTAAATTAATACAACCACTCAGGACAGCAGTCTTCAGGTTTCTCCAAATACTAAACACAGACCTTCCCTACCACCCAGCCATACCACTCCTGGGCATCTACCCTGAAGCATCACCAGCCAGGGATATGACAAGGACACCTGCACACCCATGTTCACTGCCACACTATTCACAATAGCCAAGATATGGAAACAGCCCAGATGCTCCACAGTAGATGAATAGATCCACAAAATGGGGTGCCTACATATAATAGAATTTTACACAGACATTAAAAAGAATAAAGTAATATCATTTGCAGGGAAATGAGTGGAACTAGAACAAATCATATTGATGAGGTAAGCCAAGCTCAGAGAGACAAACAAGCGCATGTTCTGATATGTGGAAATTAGATCTAAAATGCACTGGGATATGATGAACTATATAGGATTTGAGATATGCACACAGAGTGAGACCAAGAGAGGATATTTTAGGAGAAAAATACAAAGGCACAATGCCTCAGTGCCTTATCATTTTATATAAAATAATATACATATTTAAATGAACTCAATATACAGAAACAAGAGAGCTCTTTTATTTTCAAAGTTTTAGTTTATAGTTTTTATTTATTTATTGTCAGTCATGGAGCTTGAATTCAAGGGCTGGATACTGTCCCTGAGCTTGTTTTGCTCATGGCTAGCACTCTACCACTTGAGGCACAGCACCACTTCCAACTTTTTCTGTGTATGTGGTTCTGAGGAATTAAACCCAGGGTTTCATGCATGCTAGGCAAGCACTTTACCACTGAGCCACATTCCCAGCCCCAAAATTTTACAATTCAATAAACTTAAAGGCTGGCTTGTGCCTGTAATCCCAGCTATTCAGGAGGCTGAGATATGAGGATCACAGTTCAAAACTAGCCAGGACAGAAAAGTCTGTGAGGGGCTGGGAAGGTGGCTCAGTGGTAGAGCGCTTGCCTTGCATGCCTGAGGCCCTGGGTTTGTTTGATTCCTCAGCACCACATAAGCAAAAAGAAAAAAAAGCTGGAAGTGGCGCTGTGGCTCAAGTGGTAGAACACTAGCCTTGAGCTGAAGAGCTGAGGGACAGTGGGACAGTGCCCAGGCCCAAAGTTCAGGCCCCACGACCGGACCAAAAAAAAAAGTCTGTGAGTCCAAAGAATCTTATCTCTTTTTTCTGAGTCAGAAAAGGTCAGAAGTTGCAGTAGAGCACTGGCCTTGATCACAAAGAAGCTTAGGGATAGCACCCAGGTCCTGTGTTTAAGCTTCAGGACTGGCAAATAAATAAATGCCTACAAGGCAGGAATCAAAATCTAGATCAGATTCCCATAAATAAGCTGGGCAAGGTGGCACATACCTTTGATTCTAGCTATGCCCAGGAGAACAGAAGCCTGAGGCCCAACCAAGCAAAAAATGAGAAATCTTACCTGGAAAATAACTGAAAATAAAATGGCTGGGGGTGCTGGGAAGGTGGCTCAGTGGTAGAGCACTTACTTGCCTTGCATGCCTGAGGCCCTGGGTTCCATTCCTCAGCACCACATAAGCAAAAAGAAAAAAGCCGGAAGTGCCACTGTGGCTCAAGTGGTAAAGCGCTACCCTTGAGCTGAAGAGCTGATTGACAGCGCCCAAGCCCAGAGTTCAGGCCCCACAACTGGGCCAAAAAAAAAACGGCTGGGGATTGTGGCTGAAAGGGAACAGCATCTGCTTAGCAAGTGTGAGGACCTGAGGCCAAACCTCTGTACTCGGGCTGGAAGCATAGCTCAAGTGGTAGAGTGCCAGCCATGAGCAAGAAAGCTAAATGAGAGTGCAAAGCCCCAAGTTCAAGCTCTGGTACAAGCATCCATTACAAACACACTACTGCAAATATGTAAGAAATACATCAAACTCACCACTTCAGAGTTTACTATTTATTACTAGTTATTGTTTACATGTTTGCTATTATTAATACTCTTTAAGTTATTTCCCTTTATTGTAAGTGTAAGAAAGAAATATTATTTGGGGGGCTGGGGTGTAGCTGAGAGGTAGAATAATCTCTAGCATGCAGAGGCCCTAGGTTCAACTTCCGGCACTACACTTGTGTGTATGAGTTTACATATACAGATACAAATGCATTCAATGATAATGTTTAACATTTCAAATCAGCAAATTATAGCCACTGGCCAACTATTTTTGAAAATAAAGTTTTATTAGAGCTCAGGCCAAAGTTCATTTAAATGCAAGACCCAGAATCTATGCTTAAGGATTTTATATTTTATCCACTGTGAACATTTTTTTTTGTATTTTTATTTTTTAAATGCTGCACTGAGTGCCAGCTGCAATCCCAGTACTGGGGAGGGTGAGGCAGGGTTTTGAGCTCAAGGCTTTGTCTATAGAGCAAGAACTTTTTTTTTTTTGTCAGTCATAGGGCTTGAGCTCTGGGCCTGGGCACTGTCCCTCAGCTTTTCAGCTCAAGGAGATCACTCTACCACTTGAGCCACCATACCACTTCTAGTTTTCTAGTTTTTCTGGCGGTTAATGGAGAGAAAAGTCTCATAGACATTCCTGCCTGGGCTGACTTTGAACCATGACCCTCTGATCTCAGCCTCCTGAGTAGCTGGGATGACAGGTATAAGCCACCAGAGCCTGCCAAGACCTTATCTCTAAAACCATACTCACTCATGTGTGTACACATGTACACACAGACACATATGTGTGAGTTTTACTTGGCTTCACCTCCAGTTTTGGAACCCCGGCCTGGGCCCAAGGAGATCCATGATGCTCTCCTGGAAGCTGTCTCAGTTCCACACACAGTGCTTCGCCCACAGCCTGACTCACTGAGAAACGCAGTAGATGTGCACCAGGCTCCTCAGGCCTTGGGTCTGAATAATCCCCTCCCCCTCCCCCATCCACTCTCAGGCTGCCCATCCCCACATTCTGCCCATCCTTCTACCCCACTGGAGTTTCCTTCTGCCCTGTCACAGAATGGCTGCCCACCCTCCCTGGGCCCCCCATGGTGTGCCTTGGGATGCAAAGGAGGGGAGGAGTGTGGAGCTGATATGATTCACATCTTAGTCTCTTGCTGGCTGAGCAGCATGGCTGGCTGAGGCTCTGCAGAGTATCCTGGGAGCTATAATATCTTCCTTGCAGAAGGGAGTGGAGAAAACACTGCCGCTAGTCAAGTGATGATTAGCCCAGGGCCTCACTTAAGGCAGCGTGTGTATGCTGCTGAACTAAGCCAGAAAAAGTTCAGCCCTGGAATTCAGAGACACATGTCTTGGCTATGTGATTCTCAGCAAGCACACTGATGCTTTGTCCCTTGTAAGTGAAAACTGCATTTATTTAATGGGGTTGCTGTGAGGGTTATTATTGATGGCACATAATTACTGACAGTAATATCATAGTGCTGTCTTCATAAAGGCACCCCCTCCTCAAGCTGCACACACACACACACACACACACACACACACACACACACACACACGAGAGTGACCTGTGTTCTGATCTGATACCCTATTCCCATTGGCTACCAGGAAGCTCAGGGGCAAGTCAGAACACTGCCCTTTTCTAAAACGTGAAGGTGCCTTTGCCCCTTTCACCAGGAAACTCCCTTGTGGAATTGCATAGACCATTGTGCACCACCCAAAATCCTGTCTGGGATGAAGCAGAGGGGTGCAAAACAAAAACCTTCCCAGAAGCAAACAGGGAAGCGATACTTGTTAAAAGCAGGAGGTGAAAGGGGAACCGTGGGCTCCCAGGAAAGTCTTTCCTTCCCTTCCCCCTATCTCTGGCAACTAAAATCAGAGACAGCTTCTGCCA